TTGAAACTAAGTGTTGATATAGATATCAGTTCGCCTGAAAGGTTTGTAATTCTCCTATCATTTTTTTCAGGCATTCTCTACGGTTGTTGTTTTTTGTTGATTTTATCTATGATGCATTAGTATTTTTCAACTATATAAATTGATGCCAAGTGCTGATGATCTATCATGTTTTAGTTTTTCTTGTTCTTCTAGTATTTGATGGTCTATAGAAGAGGGTGATGAGGGTGTAACTTGGAACATAGAGGATAGATTAATGCTTTCCATATATTTAAATAGTGTGATCAAGGCCACATGCTTTCCCTTAAGAATGATTCCTAGAGTAGGCAATCTTGGTACTTCACATGCTTCCCTTAAAAATGATCCCACTTTTCTCATTAAAAAAAAAAAGAAAACAAGAATCTCTATTTCTGATGCATCTTGCCCTATTTCACTGTTGCATTCCTGACCAAAAAATGCTTTTCCTTGTTTGTCTCAATGGTAGGTTGTTTTCCTCTCCAAAAGGTTGATTTGGATAGATGTTACTTTGTGATTTGATGTTTTTTCACTTGAGATGCATAAATTTAAGATTTGGGGTAAACTATAACAATGTACTATTTTAATTTGTATTTTTGTGGTTAAGGAAAAAAATAGAAATTTTTTACATCTCATATTTTTGGCTGAATTACTTGATGCAGCTTGGAGAACATAATTGTAACATTGCGAGCTGGAGCTGAATATACAGGTTTACCTGTGGACAACTGTGTGCTGATAGCGGGAAGCCAATCTGGTGTTTATGGGGCTGAGCGAATAGGAATGCCTTGTGTTGTTATCCGAAGCGGGTAAGGATCCATTTCTGGTGGTTCGTGTAAGTTTTTCCGATGGGTTCATTTAGTTACTACCATTTCTTACTCCATTTAACCTACGTTGGGGTATTGTGATCAGCTATGTAAAATAAAAAACAAAAGGTCGAGGTTAATCTAAAGATTAAAAAATAATAATAAATACTGATAAAAATATTGTAAATAATTTATTGAAAGGAAGAATATGGGCATTCAAGTGATTATTGATGTTTTTCTTACCGACAGTAGCTAAGATCAGTTACAAGTTTGATGGTCCGAGGGATGAGTAATTTAATTAGAGTCATCAGACCAAAACATTGCACTTGCCACTTGAAAAACGATAAAGCATGCAAGATATGCAATTACCAAGAAGTGCCATTTAGCACGGCTATGTAATTTATGCTAGTTATGACAGAATAATGGCCATGCAGTTATGCTATTTTATTTTTATAAATACATTGCATTGACATGAGGCCTGTGCACCGGGCTGCCCTGTCAATGTATAAAATGCATTGAAGGTATGCCTTTCACATCAGCATGCTAAATAGCATTTAGCACCTGTCATTTGCTTATAATTTTCTCAACTAGATGAAGTTTTTCAGTTTGTACTGTTCCAATCATACTTTTACAGTTGATTAGTGGATTGTATAAGAATCTCTCTGATCTGCCTACCAGTAGCCAACCTATAACCAAACCATCTTTTATTTGACATGTTACCAGTTAGTTAATCACAGCTTGCTTTTTCCTGCATAATGAGTATCGACAACAACGTGCTTGTGCTTGTGCTTGTTTAGTGAATTGTTGTGCCGTTTGTTATTTCAGCGCCACAGCTAGAGCTGAATTCCGGTCAGCAAAGGCTGTTATGGATGCATTTGGTGGAGCGGATCTAACTCTCTCTAAGCTGCGCCGCAAGAAGTGGTCGTAGGTGAATCGAGAGACTCGTCTACGCACAAAAACCCTGACCTAGGCAGGGCAGGAGGGTTCTCTGCCTGGGGCCCCTGATGTGAGGTCCAATCAATGTGTTGTTTAGTACAAGACATCTTTTCGCATGTGTGCACCTGCTTTTTCCTATAGGACATTCTTTCAACAGGAGAACATAGAAGATACATAATATAATAATAATAATAATTATTATTATTATAATGCTTCAGATTTTGGTTTACATAGAAGATGTATTATTACCTCAAGTACTAATTACATTGCTGCTACAAGTAATGTTAACCGATTGTTGGAGCTGTTGTTGGGACAGGAAGCTAACTTTGGTTTTGTCAACGCCCCTAGCACATTTTTGTTTTTCGGGAGATGATGGAATTCGGTAAGAGATATTGTGTTGGATCCCTCTCTTATCATCTGTCACCTAATTATGTTTCGACATACCAAGGATGTCGAAACATTGTGTTCTTGGTGGAGGTTGTTCTAATATAATATTTTTGGTGGATGATTTAACTACGTCACAAATGTCCAAACACTATGTTCTCGGTGGAGGGTGTTGGAATATAATATCTTTGGTGGATGGCTTTTTCGTGGACATATCATGATCGGTTTTGGATGCACCGAAAAATATTGGACACTTCCCTAGATGGATGGATTCAATACCATTAAGCATAATCGATACTTTGTGGTTGCATCAAAAAACATCAAAACGTTTAGTGATTGGATTTGATCGTGTCGAATATATGAGAAGCTTGAGAATGTTTTCATGGTAAGATTTGATTGATCAGAATATGAGGTAAGAGGTAATCTTAACGTTCGCTGACGCTAGTGGTGGTGGATGATAATACCGCTGGCATTGATGCTGACGCAATTGCCTGGTCGCCTTCAACAACGATAATGTTCGCTCTCACCATGACACCACTCGCCTCCACAAGGAGCTCATCGTCACCCATCCTTCATCGCTTTGTATCTACGTCTCAACGCTTACGCAGTTGTTGAACATCAATTACGTCAACGTTGATGCAAATGGTGGTGGTCGCCATAATGTCTATGGTGAAGATGGTGGCTACCTCGCTGCTGACCCATCGAGTAGATCCTCTCCACCCTTTGCATCTGCGTCGACGTCGCTGCAGATGCCGCCTTCCGATCCATGCTCCTTTGGCAAGCTCTACATCGTGTTCGATCACCTCCCTACGAGTGGTCGTTGTTGTTGGACAAGACCATCACCTCCATCCACGCCTCCTTGATCATTCATAGCTCACATCGACGGTCGATTCTCCGTCTTGACCGATATGCATGCCACTGTGATGTTCACCAGCGTCATCAACTTCTCCTCAGATGTCTCATTCCTGAATGACCATCGGAGTCTTTCCGCTCCCGCATGGAGTGGACCCACCGAGAGATGTCAACATCGTGCTCCTCTACTAGGCCTTCGAAGGGGGTCTTCCTAATGAGGAGCTCCAAGAGAGTGAAGGAGGGCTTGGGAAGGTGAGACCTAGGCGTGCGATGGAAGAGGGAGGAGGATGTGATGGAGAAGGGGGTGATGAGATCATGGGGTGAGGTCGAGGGACGGAGGAGGAGGGAGGGGATGAGAGTCTAGTCAGCGAGGCAGGACTCGCTGACTAGACTTTATAGTTGGATTTGGTCATGTCAAAAAAATGTGGATATTTGATAGTGAAATTTGGTTGTTAGAAAATAAAAGATACTTAATAATCAGATTCAATCTTGTTAGAAAATTGTTTTATAATTAGATTCGACCATGTCAAAGACATGAGACACTTCATAGTTGGATTTGACTACTTAAAAATTAAAAGATTTTTCATGATAGAATTCATAATATTAGAAGATAAAGAACACTTATTGATTGTATCATAACACACAATATGTTTAGTGATTGGATTCAATTGTGTTAGAATAGGAGACAATTTTATGATCCAATTCTATCATAACTGTTGTAATCATTCATTGGGTATTTGATTCGATTCTATTTAATTTTTTTAATAATTTAATAATTTTTAATCCTAACACTATATATTCTATGGCCAATCAGGGGCCTTCTATGCCACCCATTAACAGTCTCAGGGGATCTTGACCGTCTCTTTCATACTTGCATTATGACAAGTTTGGACTTTGAAACTCAATACAACTCCCAAAACTCTTTATATAAACCAAACCTCTCGCCAAAGGCCTAGTTTGGATGTCTTCCATCACATCTTCTTCTCAGGGTTAAACTCCTCAAGGGAAGAGAGGAGGCCTAGTTTGGACTCGACTTTGGTTAGGTCTTCAAAATAAACCAACCAAGGAAGGCCAGTTGGAGGTCAAAAGAGATCAATATGCGCTGGAAAGAGAAGACCTAGCTCACACACCATGGTGACGATAGAGCTCTCAGAGATGAACAAGTGTCTCAGCTTTGACAAGCAATAGCTCGAGGAGGCACAACTAAAGAAGCAATTGAGTTGCCAAACGAGCACTTCATATCTAGTAGTCAAAGAACACCTACTTCATGCGCTGGGTTAGAAAGCTACATTGCCTGAGTCCTACTAATATTTGAGAGTCGATAGGCATCCCAAAGGGACTTGGTAAACACCGTTTATAACTCTTTCGAGTCGTACTAATATTTGTAGCACTTTACCTTAGGTTTCGTTGATCAAGTCAAGATTGGTCCTTGGCCCTTCCTCTAATATTCTTTCACCACAGTCTACGCTTCAAGCTAATCCAGATGATGAGTTCAGAGGAATGACTATTTTTGTCTCATAGCACCTATAGTGTGGTATAATCCGAAAACTCCATAAGATGCTCGAGAGTTCATCTACTTTAGTTACATGCTTGTTTACTTGTTGAGAATTGCTGAACATTTCAAGAGACACAGTATTGTTGAACTGAGTTTCATTATCCATAATAAAAATCTATAGGACTTCATATCGGGAGACTATTTTTCCACACATGAGTAACTGAGAATCAATTCTCGAAATCATTATGTTAAGTGGGTCGAGCAGCCAGTGACACTCAAGTAAGTTTTATGTTTCACCCACTATATAAGACAGAATAACAAAATGCTTGTGAAGAATATTCTCAATAATCACAGTGCTGTTAGGGTTGCTTCTTCCAAAATCTCCAGTTCTATGTGCAAGTCAGGTCAATCTTTCACAATATTCATATCGGTCAAGCATTTCATTTCCTCCTAGTCCAGTTGTGCAATACTTAATGATGATCTTCAATTTTAGGCAACAGGAGATATGGCAAAGTTGCTTTATGTGGTCACTTGAACACATTCAAGGGCCTAAAAAAAGCTCTAAAGTTGCTGTATGCTAGGAAGAAGTCTAATATCCAGAAAAGATTTCCAGATTTTTATGTACAGAGATTCTCTGTGGAGAATAAGTAGTTTTTGTGTTCGAGGCAAACGACAGCATCAAATCGAAAAGAGATGCTGCAGTTTATACAGTACTAACCGATAAAGAAACATGGCAAATGTCAACATTTTTAAACCTTGAGTGCACAAAATTCATGGTGATTACCATTTTATGATGCCGCCGTATCGCTTAGCTCACCTTCACCCTCCAATTCTATCAGTTTTCCATGATGAAGGTTCCTAGTATTCAGAAGCGAATTAGTGTCAGCGAAGTCAAGAGAAAACAAGCAGTGAGGCAAAGCATGCTAGAAGAAACGTTTGGAGAACGAGGGATTGCAAGACTTGCAGTTGGTTCTTGCCATCATAAGAGCAAAATATGTGCATCTCTTGAGGAATTGCATTATTTATTATAAGGCACTCAGATTGAGAAATTTTGCAAAAGATACCAAGGGAGGAATGTTTTTAACAGATTGAGTGACAATCTATTACTCGAACAAAGTCACAACTAACTTGTCATCCATACAGATAGATATATGGAAGAGGTGCTTATTGAAGAAGCAAAATAAAAAGATTGATTAAGCTAAAAGTTATAAAAGCTCAAGCAGCTGACGAATAAAAAGGATTAATAAGCATTAGTGATGCAAGCGCATTTATCTGCAAGGAAAGGAATCTATATTTGCACAATCAACCAGAAATTGCGTAGCTGAATGAAATTCATTTGCATATACAACATAATTCTAGTGGCAAGACAAACATAATATCGGACCTTTGTGGTATGAAATTTTCATCAGAGAGTGCTTTCTCTAGTCTCTCTTCAAATGGGGTTGCATGCCAGCTGACTTTCTGATCCTGGTGCACAGCACAGAAAGCTTTTTATTTGTAATTGGAGAGACAATGAATTGAAGATCATATAACTGTAGGAAAGCTGCAAATATTACCTCTTTATACTTGTTTGTTGAGTTTGGAATTCCATTTCCATCCCACCTTTTCGACAATTTAGGTTCAGGCTCTTCATCTTTCCAGTGTGCTGCAACCATGCCAAGAATGGGCCTGTCTGCATCAGAGCTCTTTCCTGAGCAAGATTTTTCATGAAGCTCATTGTGCAGTCCATCCTTTTTAATAGGAGGTTTCAACCATTGAGATAAGCTTGTTACTACTTGCTCTGGGTATTTCAGGCTCAATATTGTCTTATCTCTATCATCGGAAGGTGCTTCCAATTTGTTCATAGTCTTCCCAGAAACATATTTATCAGTGTAGACTTCCTCATCGTTTTGTCTTCTCTTATCACTTGGAGAGGTGAGCCTGTGGGTGACAGACAATTGAGAATCCTCAGGAGCTGATATAAGTTGCATTTGTTGCATTTTATCTCCAGTATCAGGACTATGATTTGTTTTCTTATCTAGATTGTCATATGATTGCAATTTTTCAGAGGAATCTTCATCCAACAGTTTCCACCGAGAGAGATTTTCCACACCATTGATAACCGGACATACATACTGTGTCTGAATTGTGGTGTTTCTCCCAGTTCTAACATTCTCTCGATTGGCAGGATATACTGTTGCAGGTGTCTCCATCTCATTGGTCACTTTCAGTGGTGTTGGAAAAGGTGAACATTTAGAAGCACAATTCCGAGTCTGGGACTTGTGTTGATGAGATATATCTGGGGTATGAATATCCAATTTTGGTTCCACAGCAGATTCATTTTGTACTACACCTAGGTCCACTGAGTTGCTCCAATTAGTCGAAGGGAAAGAACATTTACAGTGCTGAGTTTGATGACCCTCAAATATACAGCTACGGTAGAAATCATTTAAGAAAATGATTATACATGTATTCTTCTCATTGATGCTGAACAATGAAATAATTTGATTACAAAAGAGCAGGGGAATTTACATTTACCTCTGAGAGTTGCTCTGCGAAAAACCAGCAAAGTCTTGCATCTGTATAGGACATTGGGAAAGCTCACGTTTTTCATCCCAAAGAAGCTTCTTACAAGAAGTTCCAGGAAGCCATGAGTTATAACTGGAAGAAACACCATGCTCATGAGGAGCTTGGACAGTTCCTACCGATGTTTTTTTTATTTCTACGGGAGTTTGGAGTATAGCACCACAAGCCTTGAGAAAGTCAGCCTGTTCAATTTATTGAAACAGAGTTAAATATGACCTAACTATCCTCAAAAGCACTTGTCTTAAGACAAACAACACGAACCAAAAGATGTAATATTTACTCTTAGAAAAGTATATTTACATAAGATTTTCCCTGTGCCACATCACTACATCATTGTCTCCATTTTCTACGACAATGTAACCCCATTCACCGCAGCAGAAATGCAGTGATTCTATGAAATGAAATTAAACTAGTGGGTTAATGACAGGCCAGAAACTTAATCTGAATTGAAGTAATTGATATTGTTCTTAAACTAATTTGACATATAGACTTTGAAGTTATCTTTTTTGCAACATCTTAGCCAACAATATTATCTGTATGTGGCCTAGTCAGCTTACCAGCTTGTTACATGGGCTCCTTATAGTCATTCATGCATTGAACCATGGGGAAGAAGCTGCACGGAAGGCAAAATTCTTGTGCTATTTATCTTCACGTAACAAGATCATTAAACTGTAGGCTAGTTCTTTCAAAGAATAGCATGAGACTATCAAAATACCATATAGTATCTAAGATAAAGTAGCATATATTTCCATAGCATTTTGAACTTTTTCATAGGATTACATAAGGACAGGCAATAAATGAATTTTAACTCAGGCATGTTGTAATGCCCCATTGAACATTGACTCAGGTGACTCTAGTGATATTATTAATAGAATAAAATTAACTTGCGTGTGACATAACCAAATGTTCAGAAAAGAGATACAAGAAACACTATCTGTCAGATTTACCATTTCAAACTCCTGAAACGAGCAGTGGATAAATTTTGGTCTTTCAGAAATAATTTATTTTTGAAAAAATGACATAGTTACAGGATTTATTAATGTAATGACAAAATAGTAGCAAAACTGAACAGCAGATGAAAACCTTAAAATAGAGCAACATTTTCAAACAAATGTGAAAGAGAACAAAAAAACAAACTATGAAAGATGAAAAAATTAGAGAATCAGCCTTTTGAAATTAGTGATGCAAAGAAGGAAATCTGATTTATGCAGCAAAATGTTGATATAAGCTGTTCAATTGGAAAGAATCTAATACAATAGAAACACATTGGGAAATCAGAACCCCATCAAAGAAAATAATTTTCCAACATAAAATTTTCCTAAAGTAGTATACAGTAGGTAGTGCATTTGTGTCATGTGGATGCTGGGCTTGCGAATAGTAAAGCAAGGGAAGGGAATGAGATTGAGGATGGTTGATAGTGCCATAAAATTAACCCTATTGTTGAATCCACATAAGGATTATATAAACATATCTCATTTTTCTCTCCCTGCATTTCAATTTCACATGGAAACTACAATAAAGAAAGTCCCGTTTAATCAGAATGCAAATGTTGACAACGTCTGCAACATATACACATTGATATTGGGAACAGGCAAAGTCGTTTCTGAGAAAATAAATCTATGCTATCGTATCCAAGACTTCATAGATTATATTTCATAGGCGTTGAAAACATACTAGCCAGAACTTAGAATAAACATATAATCACAAACGGAGGATTCCAATATTCTATCAATTTCACTCGCTCATTCATGTTTAAGCAATGCCCTGCATGATGCGGATAATAAAGTTTGAAGAAAACAAATGCTTGGTTGCCTAAAACTGTAAATTGCAACACATACCTCATGCTTAAATTCCCCGCATAAGCCATCTTTGACACCATTTTTCTTTGCACTCGGAATTGTTACTTGCTCAGGTGGGGAATCTGTCTCTTCAAGTTGGACAAAATAAGAATTCAAGTAAAAGGGGGGAAGAAAGTGACCAGCACCATGACAACATCTGATATACCATATCATTACTAGTAAATATGCAAAATCCTCAGCGAGAAGCCGTACCTTCATCCAGAAACAAGGATCCCAGCTGCCGCTTTGGCACCAAATAGCCCTGATCGATCTATCAAAATTACACACATTCTTAGGAATCAATTGGCCACAGTATGAATCACTCCCCAATTGCTATCAAGAACAACAACAGTAGATCATCAAACTGATGCCGTACCTTGCTCGTGGAAGCACTTGAACTGGGAACCGGATGGCTCCTCCGTTCATCATTGTTATCTTTGAACCCAAAGCATCTGAACATACAGCCCATGCCCAAATCCACGACGCCGAGGGTTGCTCAAATCCAACAAATCAAGAAACGGAGAGAAAGAAGTGGGAATGAAGAAGAGCCGATCGATCGGTCGACGTTTCTCACGAGAGAGAGAGAGAGAGAGTGGGGAAAGCTGCTGCGGGGTTTTTGAGTTGGGGGTTTTAATTTAGGGTTTTAATTTTTTGAAATTTAAATCTACCGCAACGAGGGAAGGAAACTAAAAATGGGAATATCGAGTTTAAATCATCACTTTCAAGTCGGTAATTTCTTTGTTGTTCTAATCCATATATTTTGAAAGTTATAATAAAATTTTTATACTTACGAAAATAAAATATTTAACCTATTACTTCAACAAAATCCCTCTCTATTTTTAATCTTATAAAATTATCTTTCTATCTCTGGATAGGGATCTTAATGTTTCACTTTCGTAACTATAGAGATATAAATATAATTTTTTTAAAAAAATAAAATTTAAAATACTAAAGATAATTAATTATAAAGATTATAATAATTAAATACCCTATTTCCAAATTTTAATTTTAGAGGATGGATATGTAAAACCTCTTTTATTTAAGGGTTTTTCCTTAGTGGGCCATTGCTGAGGGTAATGGGCTCAACATAGATTCGGCCCATAATATTAAATGGCAGGTACTTGCAATACAAATTGGTAATCACATTTTTATCCACCAAAAAGAAAATTTTGAGTATTGCAAGGCAGATTATCTTATGATATCAATCGTAGCATATAACATGTCTACTGAGACAACTATGATCAAAACTAGAAGTGAAAACATTCAGAGAAACAAGTAGTATTGGACCTGCAAAGGAATTCTAAGTCTCAAGAGTTTAGTGATTGGATCAGAATGCAGGATTAGCATGCAGAACATATTCTGCATGCTATGTGAACGATGAGACCAAGACAAAAGAACTTAAACCCCACGTTGGGGATTTATCGCCTTCGGACGAGAAGTTTCTCGAGGCACAGCCTGTGGTCATTCTTCGAGCTTAAACCCCACCACACCCTGTGGAGTGGATTGGGTGGACTGAGTTCACTTGAAATCTTCATGAAAACCGACCCATCAAAAGCACATGTTGGGGAATAAGGATCACGTCCTTTTGAAAGGCTATCAACAGCATGTATACTTGCTCTGCAGAGATCCATGGCAGTGAAAAGATTGAGAGTGTTTGCAAGGCTATATTTCTCTTCCCGGAGATGGCCCCTGAGGCAAGAAGCATGCAGATGCTTGTTTTTGTTCCCATGCAAGCATGGAAAGGCAGCAATTTTAATGGTCTTTGGATATGGAGTTTACTGATTCCATGTAGCAGCAGTCACCTTAGACCTTCCAAAGAGAAAGTTCATGGAAGACCCCAAAGCATCATAGAAACTTCCAAAAAGGCCGAGCAAGACAGAACTGGGAAACAAGCATCTTTCCTCATTGATTCTGACATATAATTCTGATGCTACTTGCACTACTCACATCCAAACACACACACACACAGTTCTTTTCCTCCACACCTTGATTGACGATCGACATGGCTGCACAAGACGAGACGAACGAGTGATGTCGAGGTGGATGGAATCTAACGAGTGATATGCTTCAGCTACGTGACACTGTTTTTTTTGACCTAATATACTTTTTGTTGGCGGTCAAATAGATTTCAGCCCATAGAGGGCTTGGGAGGGGTGTGGTGGCTACGTTTTGAATGTAGAAAAAGACATAAATAGGACAGCAACGTGGGAGAAGAAAAGAGCCATGAGATTCCAAAGAAAATTAGGAAAACAAGATAGAAAAGAAAGAGAAAGAAAGGGAAGAAGACAAGGAAAACGCAGAGAGGCTGTTCTCAATCATCTAGCAGTGTTCTCATTTCAGGTTAGATCAAATCTACAGTAGACTCTTACTGTGATTACTTGGGGAGGTTTTAGATATGGTAAGCAGTGACGAGATCCTTGTATCCCAGTTATTCCATTGTGATTGTTGCTAGGGTTTAGGGCAATAGATTGAGATTTGTATATTCATTATTCTCATAGTGGATTATCTCTAGTTTGCCCCATGGTTTTTACCCTTCACATTGAAGGGGTTTTCCACGTATATCTTAGTGTTCTATTTGATTGTGGTTCCATTTAATTTCCCTGCATATCATGGCCTTCTAGTATTTGTTCATATACAAAGGTTATTCCTGTTTATATCCCCATCAACTGGTATCAGAGCAAGGGATTTTGGTGATTTAAATTTTGTATTTGAACATAGATGTTAGTAATGTTTCTCGCATGATTAATTTAAATGGAAACAATTGGATGATATGGAAATCAAGAATAGAAGATCTATTGTATTGTAAAGATTTGTATGGACCTTTGTAGGGGGATAATGCAAAACCCACAACTATGACAGATGATGAGTGAAAGAGGTTAGATCGAAAAATAATTAGGTTTATTAGACAGTGGCTTGATGATAATATCTTTCACCATGTTTCTACTGAAATTTCTGCATATTCTCTTTGGAAAAAATTGGAAAGTCTCTACGAAAGAAAAACAGCTAGCAACAAAGCTTTTTTTATCAGAAAACTTGTGAACCTAAAATATAGAGAGGATGTTTCTATTGCTGAACATCTGAATGAAATGCAAAGTATTACTAACCAGTTATCCTCTATGAAAATGTCTCTTGATGAGTTGCAGACATTGTTACTTCTCAGTTCATTACCAGAAAGTTGGGAGATACTAGTGGTTTCCCTTAGTAATTCTGCGCCAGATGGTGTTGTCACTATGAGTCAAGTAACTAGTAGTTTGTTGAATGAGGAGTTTGAGAAAAAAGAGTTCGGAAAAATTTGAGAAGAAAGAGTTCGGCAAAATCTCAGAATGATTCACAGGTACTTATCTCAGAGAATAGAGGAAGGTCAAAGTCTAGAAGCAGTTCACGCATGGATAGAAGCAAGTCAAGATCAAGAAAAGATATTGTTTGCTATAACTATGGTGAGAAAAGACATTACAAGAACCAATGTAAGCAACCTAAGAAGAGTAAGAAAAAGAGAAAAGAAATGAAGTCTAAAGAGTCAAAAGATAATATCACAACTACAATGTAGGGTGACGATTATTTGATTTTATCTCATTCTGATGATATTTTTTATTGTGTGTATCAGGATCTTGAGTGGGTGATTGACACAGGTGCTTCTTATCATGCTACCGGAGGGAGTTTTTTGCTACATACAGGTCTGGAAATTTTAATGTTGTCAAGATAGGTAACTATGACACAGTAGACATCATAGGCATGGGTGATATCCATTTAAAGACCAACCTAGGTTACAAGTTGGTATTTAAGGATGTGAGGCATGTGGTTGACTTGAGGCTGAATTTAATTTCAATTAGAAGGCTAGATGATGAAGACTATGATAGCAGATTTCACAAAGGGCAATGGAAGCTCAGTAATGGTTCTCTTGTTATAGCTAATGGAAAGAAATATCATACTTTGTACAGGTTGCAGGCTAAAGCTTATGGTGAGTAGTTAAATGCTACAGAAAAAGACTTCAGCATGAAGTTGTGGCATAGGCGATTGGGACACATAAGCGAGAAGGAGCTGTAAGCTCTTTCCAAGAGAGAGGTATTACCAGACCTTAGAGGTATACATCTGAACCCTTGTATTGATTGTTTGACATGTAAACAACATAGAGTTTCATTTGCTAGTCCTGCTTTATCTAGAAAAATGCATGTCTTAGACTGTGTTTATACAGATGTATGTGGTCCTTTGAGGACAAAAACTCCTGGTGGATCTGTTGATGTTCTTAGTATAAGTGGTGTACTTTATTTTGTCACTTTTATAGATGATTTTTCCAAGAAAGTTTGGGCATATGCTTTGAAGACCAAAGATCAGGTTATTAATGTCTTCAAAGAGTTTCATGCTAGGGTTGAAAGGGAGACAGAAAGGAAATTGAAATGCATAAGATCAGATAATGGTGGTGAGTATACAAGATTGTTTAATGACTATTGCAGGTCACATGGGATCCAACATGAGATGACAGTTCCTAGTACACCTCAATATAATGTAATTGCAGAGAGGATGAACCGCACCATCATGGAAAAGATCATATGTATGTTTTCACAAGCCAAGCTACCCAAAAAGTTTTGGGATATGGCTTTGACGACTGTAGTTGATATGATCAACTTATCATCATGTACAGCCCTATATGGTGATGTTACAGAGCATGTATGGTCAGAGAAATATGTTTTCTATAAGCATTTGAGAGTGTTTGGTTGTCGTGCATTTGCACATGTTCCAGATAATGAGAGGTCCAAGCTGGATGGTAAGACTAAAGAATGTATTTTTCTTGGTTACTCACATGATCATTTTGGTTACAGGCTTTGGGATCCAGAAAAGCAAAATGTGTTTAGAAGTAGAGATGTAGTATTCTTTGAGGATCAAACTTTTGAAGATTTGAAGAAGAAGACACTAATACTTCTGTAGAAGGATTAGCATATTGTGACCCAATTACTCCTCCAGTATATCAGGGTGATGGGGGAGATGTACAGGAAGATAGTGTAGAGCCTGATGTTAATCTACCTATAGGACATGTTGAGCAAGAAGAAGTATGAGAGCAAGTTCCAGTAGAACCTCAGTTGAGAAGATCTTCTAGACAACGTCAACAGTTACCAGGAAGCAGTTGAAAGTGAGCAGAAAGAGAAGTGGTTAGTTGTTATGCAGGAAGAAATGGATACTCTTCAGAAGAACCACACTTATGATTTTGTACTGCTACCAAATAGAATGAAGACCTTACCAAAAGAAAGGCAGGAGATATACCGACAATTGATTGACATGACTTCACATTGAGGAGTCATGGAACAGCCTCCCTTATGGGCTGAAGGGGAAGGTTGTTGGGTTGACAGCCCACAGATTCAGCCTTTAGTGAGCTTGGGCAGCCCACACCCCTTCTTAACCTAACCCTAATTAACATTAGGAGAGGTGTGGTGGCTACATTTTGGAGGCAAAAAAAGACATAAATAGGACAACAACGTGGGAGAAGAAAAGAGCCATGAGATTTTAAAGAAAAGGAGAAAAACAAGGCAGAAAAGGAAGAGAAAAAAAGGGAAGAAAACAAGGACAACGCAGAGAGGTTGTTCTTAATCATCTAGTAGTGTTTTCATCTCAGGTTAGATCAAATCTATAGTAGACTCTTGCTTTGATTACTTGGGGAGGTTTTAGATATTGTAGGCAGTGACATAATTCTTATATCTCAATGATTTTCTTATGATTGTTGCTAGGGTTTAAGGCAAGAGAGTGATATTTGTATATTCATTATTCTCATAGTGGATTATCTGTAGTTTGTTCCGTGATTTTTACCCTTCATATTGAAAAGGTTTTGCACATATATCTTGGTGTTATATTTAATTATGATTCTATTTAATTCCGATGTATCTCATGACCTTCTAGTATTTATTCATATACAAAGATTATTCCTATTTATATCCTCTTCACTTTTGTCCTTAAATAGATTTCCCCATCAGTCATCGGCCGTAGTTCATCTCATGCATGCTTCACGATTACATAAGCGCCTTTCCACAATTCTGCAATGCGAGGTAATGCAGATTCAGATGTATACATACATACAAGAAAGTCAATCAAGAAGAATGGACCACACAACAAAAAACCTCAACTCTCTCTCTCTCTCTCTCTCTCTCTCTCTCTTTCTGTGTCAAGCCCTTCCTGACACAGAAGGGAAGAGAGAGGGTAAGATGATAAACTTAATTTATTATAATACACATTATATCTAGAAAAATAGGTTACATAAAGAAAAAGGAAGATTATATGGAATAGAATAACTATTGAGAAGTACATGAATCTTTGACTAAGTACATTAAAAGGTGAATGAACCTTTTAATGTACGATCTCATCGGTATAAATAAATAGGCATTGATAATATTGAATGTATAAATAAAATATAATAATATAAAGACTCTCCTCCACTGTACACAGATAACCTCTGGATGATTCCTTGTTCTTCTACTGAGAGGAGAGCATGTGGTTGGAGAGATCGAGAAGAGTCCGGCCTCGAGAGGCCTCGCAAACTCCACGTGCTCTGACACCGCCATCCGATGACTACAGTCATCACACCACCAATTAAAATGAGCAGCGGCGCAGCTGAGATGGATTTGGGTCCCACCTCCAAAAACCAATAAAGAACCTCGCTCCTCTCCTCTCCTCTCCTCCTCTTCCTCCTCCTCCCACCCCCAGCAAGAAGAGCTCGTAAGAACCAAAGAGACCAAAGTGAAAACCGAGAAGCGTTCATCTGATGCATACAGCAACTCTGATGTCTGGCTCTGTTGTCTGGGTTGTATCGCCCAAGGAGAGCATCAGGTGCTCGTTGCTGAACCAGTTCATAGAGGTGAAGAGGCGGAGCTGGAGGAGAAGCAGCGTGGCGTGGAGCTTTTCTCGGCCGGCGCCCACCTCAGGGCACTCGGTGCCCGCCAGCCTGGTCGTGACGCCGCCGAGGACCTCCGAGGAGCTGGTCTACGAGGTGGTCCTCAGGCAGGCGGCGCTGGTGGGCGAGACGAAGAGGAAGAGGCCGGCGACGGTGCAGCTCCCGCCGGTTCCTCTGCGAGGGGACCTCCTTTACGAGGCGTACGAGCGGTGCGGCGAGGTCTGCGCTGAGTATGCCAAGAATTTCTACTTGGGTAGTTCTTTATCTTGGTTTGAATTTGCAATGGAATTCTAGATCTTGGATCTGCAGCTTGCTTGGCCTCATCAATATTCCTGTGGTATTCTATTAACCATGTTGACTATTTTGTCTAGCTATCAAAGCAATCCACTGATTCCAATCAGAATTTGGATCTTTTCTTATCCTTCTAACGTTGTGATATTTGATCAGCCATATATCTTCTTCCTCTCTCTCTCTCTCTCTCTCCTTCCCTTTCTTCTTGTT